CTGGCCCTGCCGGTGAGGGGGGGTCCCTGCCAGCTGCCCCCCACCCAGCCCAGCAGTGCCTGGCACTGTCCCCACAGCCCCCCCGCCCTCCGGGGGGGTGCATGCGTGTGTGTGCAGGGTTTTGGGGGGTCCCCGCTGCCCCAGGCTGTGCCCCCCGAGGTGCTGCCTGCCCGAGGGGGGGTGGGGGGCGGGTTGCATGTGTTTGCCTTGGAGGGGCTCTGCCTGAATTGGGGGGTGGGGGGGGGTGAATCTGAGCCAGTTTTGGGGGTCTAACCCGTGCTAACAGCTGCCCAGCCCTGGCCTGCCGGGGGGGGGGGTCCCGCTGTCCTGGGACCACCAGGCCCCGACCCCCCCCTTTCCCCAGCTCCCCTCCCGTTCCCGTGCCTGTCCAGCCATGTCCGTCTGTCCGTCCGTCCATCCGTGAGCCTCTGTCCGTCCCCCCTCGCTCCCCCCAAAACCCCGGGGCACTGCCTTGTCCTGTGCCCGCCCCGGGGGGGGTCCCTTGTGCCCCTCAGCTCTGAGGGGTGACCCCATGTCCAGCCCTCACCGCGGGACGGGGCAGCCCCTTTACCCCCCACCCCCACCCCTGGGGGCGATCTTAGGGGGTCCCAGGGGGGGTCACTGCCTTACCCAGACCACCAGCCCGGGTCGGGGGGCTTGGGGGGCACCCAGCTCTGCCGCTGCCAAGCCGCCACCCGTGTGTGCCTCAGTTTCCCCCTTTTTTTTTTGGGGGGGGGGACTCGGTGTCACTGCCTGCCAAGTGCTTTGAGCCCCCCCTGCCCCAACGCTCGCCCCCGTGGCGACCAAGATCCGGGCAGTGGGGCCCCCCCCGCGGGCAGAGGGACGTCCCGTATTTATGTCACTCCACAAACTTTTAATTTAAAAGACCCGACAAAAATGTATTTTATTTATTTATTCTCGTTGGTGTGTGCGTGTGTGTGTGTGGGGAGGGGGGGACTCGCCCCGCTCGCTTGGTTCTTTGTAATAAACATTTCGGTGAGATCTGAAAACGAAATATTTTCGGTGCCCCGTGCCTGAGCCGGCTGTGGGGACACGGGGGGGACACGGGGGGGACATGGGGGGACACGGGGCAGGGATGGAGCTGGGACCTGCCCGGCTCCGGGGAAGGGGCGAGGGTCGGGGGGTCTCCAGCCCCCCGGGGTTGTGCAGCGGCAGCCGCTGGGCTCAGCGCGGGGCTGGGCCGGGTTTATCGGCGCTGGGCCGGGTCCGGACACGCTGCGGACACGCTGCGGACACGTTATTTACACACAATAAATACATCGCGGGCTCTCAGGGCTGCCGGCACCGCCACTCGCTCTTCTCCGGCCGGTACTCGAACTCTCTCCTGCGGACAGCGGTGACATCGGTCACATCGGTGACATCGGGGACATCGGGGACACCTCAACCCCTGTCTCGCTGGGGGTGCAGTTTGGGGTGTCCTGTGTTGCCCCGGAGCTCAAGGGGGATTTGGGGTGTCCTGTGTCCCCCCAGAGCGCAGGGGATGGGTGCAGTTTGGGGTTCTCTGTGTCCCCCCAGAGCTCAGAGAGGTTTGGGGTGTCCTGTGTCCCCCATAGCTCGGAAAAGGAGGATGATGCAGTTTGGGGTGTCCTGTGTCCCCTCATAGCTCGGAATTGTGATTCTGGGTGCAGTTTGGGGTGTCCTGGGTCCCCCCAGAGCTCAGCAGGGGTTTGGGGTGACCTGTGTCCCCCCTAAAGCTCAGGGGGGTGGAGGATGCAGTTTGGGGTGTCCTGGTGGGTGTCCCCAACCCAACCCAGCGCCCCGGTGCCCCTAACCCAGTTCAGCACCCCGGTGCCCCCCCACCCTGGGGGCTGCACCCCGGTGCCCCCCACCCAACCCAGCGCCCCGCACTCACTCTCTGGCGGGCACGGAGGGCCGGCACACCAGCCCGGCCTGGCACGGGCACACCTGGTTGATGCTGAAGGCGAGTCCCCCCGGGGGCACATGGCAGCTCTGGGCCAGCTCCAGGCGTCGCTGGCAAACGCGCTCCCCGTGCTGGCGAGCGCAGCAGCCGCCGGGCCCGCACTCCTCGTCCCGCTGGCACCGCGCTCCTGGTGGCACAAAAAGCGACCTCAGGGGACAGGAACCCGCACTCTGAGCTCCAGCACCGCATTCCCCGCGCTGTCCCTCGTGTCCTCCCCACCCCAGAGCCCCGCTCACCGTCCTGCCCGGGGGTCGCGGGCTGCTGGCACTTGCCGAACATGCAGACGAGCCCGTGGGCGCAGTGCGGGTCGTGGCGGCAGTAATGACCCGCGGGCCGGGCGGGCAGGCACAGCCCGAAGTGCTCGTCACAGAAATGGCCCTGGGCACAGGGGGTGGCGGGGCTGCACGGGGTCACCTGCGGAGGAGGGGACGCGGCAGGTCAGGGGGGTCACACCTCATCCCTCACCCCATTGCTGACCCCCATCACGCGTTTGGTGTGGGGGCGTGGGAGGGATTTTGGGGAGCTCCATGCGCAGCCCGCAGCGGTTCCAGGATTTTTTTTCTCGAGAAAAGAAAGCCCGGCGGAGGGGCTGGGGGGCAATACGGGGATCCCCTACAAAAGTCCTGCTCCAGGTGAGGCTCGAACTCACAACCTCGGCATCGCTCGTGTACCGCCCTATAAGTACCGCGCGCTGACCGATTGCGCCACTGGAGCGCCCGGCGCCGCCCGGCGCCACCGCGCCCCCTGCCGGCCCCGCGGCCACCGGACCGGAGCGGTCACCGGC